CATGGAGTCTGGACACAGCCATAGACTATAAACAAATTCTTTCAGTTCAAAAATGCATCCCAGTGCTTTTTCCTCTCAAGAAGTTAGCAAGCTTCAGTGTGAAACAACTTGTCATGATTCCAGTTTCAGATTTATTTAGCGTCTCTGGGCATATCTGTTGGCAAAACTGTGCAAAGTGTTGCTGTAGTTCACAGTAGATGAGTCCTGTGCAATAATTCACCAGTTCTGGATTCTGAGCTTTACATGCTACTTGTCACTTCCTCTGCTGTGTGGACTCACTGCATGAGTCAGAGAACTTTAGCACACAGGCTTGGTTTGTGGCTTGCCTATATGACATATTGGCCATTCTTTGTGCCAGTTTGTGTCTTGGAAGAGGGAGAATGTCTTGAAGAATTGTACCCTCTCATGTGTTTCACAAGCCAAAAAATATTCATCACGATGCTCAGTGCTCACATCAATATGAAGAGCAAAAACATCTGTTTCCCCTCTGCCATTGTTCTTGCCTCGAACCTTTTCTTCATTGTGTAGCTGGAGAATGGTGTGGCTTTGAGTTTGCCTTGGTTTCCTCACATGTAAAAGTCGCCATATTGATTGTGGCTGGTAAAATTAATCTCTCCAGTTGTGAGGTTTCTGGGCCTGTCTGTGGTAATTTACCTCAACTTTTATAACTTCTTGGAGCATGGACTGACATGGCTCCCACAAATTGCACTTGTTAACCTTTCTAATACTGGAAAAATGACCTTGGCTTTTGTTTGATCCTTGTGACCACTTTCCTTTTGTCTGAGCTCATTAAACTTCATGCTTTCACTAGATAACACTGTGTGACATTACGGATTTTGGCCTTTCTCTGTTGACAAATGCTGGCAAAGCCATACTCCAAGCCAACCTTGCTATATTTGCAAACACCTATCTTGCATTCTTGTTTGTTGTTCATAACTGGATTCACTGCTGGAGGCTGAAGCAGATACTCTGCATACAAATGAGTCTGCTGTGTTTATCACAGATAAAGAAGAGGAACTCACTGTCCAGGCCACACAGGAAGGCCCTGAGTGGTGATGCTAGGATGGCATGTGGACAATGACTTAGGATGATTCTATATGCTTGAGTGCCAACAGGGTACTCAGGATGGCATAAACAAAGCTTCAGGCCCTGCCTTAGGACTCTATTTGGCTTATAAGTGTCCTTATCTAAGAAAAGGCTAGAAAAGCTCCTACCAGCTCAAGCAGAGAGGATGTTCTGTTGATAAGACTGTAGCCTACAGATAAGGATCTTCTGGATTCAAGTTTCAGCTGGATGATGCACATGGCAAAGTGGTGTCTGAAGTGTCATCTTGTGCCCTGCTTCACAAATGGCAGTCTCTACGCAGCATGACCTCACACATACCATACATGTGTGGAGGCTCCTATTTTGTAGGTCAAAATGGTTGCCTCATGATCTTGGAAGGAGATGGGCAATACAGGCAGTCCCCGAGTTACGTGGATCCGACTTATGTCGGATCCGCAGTTACGAATGGTGCTTTTCTCGCCCTGGAGGACGCAAGCGGCGGGACGCCCAGATGTGCCGCGGTCCCGCCACCTGCGTCCTCCGGGGCGAGAAAAGCTGCTCCGCATCTCCCTGGTCTGCTGGGGGGGAGCCCCCCCCCC